AAATTAAAACAATTAACTAATACAACAAATATATAAAATTCGGGTGAACAGTAATCATGATGAACAGTATTTTTTTTTTTTATATTAAAACAATTTAGTTAAATTTTTTATTAACTAATACAACTAATTAACTTAACAGCAACAATTATTAATTAATCTTCTAGATTGCTATCAAAACAATAATAATATAAAACAAATTAAGGAGTTAGAAAATTCAGGCCTGATTGGGAGCAGTCGTGATATCACTGCCCTAGAAGATTAAGGACCCGCCTATCGCCCTGGCGCAGTTTGTCCTCTCTCCCCTAGCGGTAAAAACCCCCGGAATCGGCCGGCCTCTGCACTCGGGCGTGAGACACAGAGCTTATGCTCAGACGAAAACAGTTGCCCAGAAAATAGAATATGTAAATATGTAGCCGAAATCTTTGGAGGTATAAGAGTAGAGAAGAGAAGAGAGTGTAGAGATTTTCCTCTTCGTTGGTGTGATTCTGAATGAGCTCCAAGCCTCCTTTTATAGGTGATGAAAGGTGTAACCCCCGCTGAATCCAAGGGACCGTTACGCACGGTTAATGCTTCCGTTACCCGCATGCAGCCGTTACAAAATGTGTAAAACGTGCAAAAATGAAGGCTTGAGAAGCAAAAGGTGTGCGGCTGCGGCGTGCGGGCGCGGCGTGGCGTGCGGGCGAGGCGCGGCGTGGCGTGCGTGCGCGCGCGCGCGTGTGGTAGAACCGCAAAGCCCACAAAACCCAAAACACTATTCAAAGCCCAATAAGGAGAGAACCATTATATACCCTTTACTATTCATCTCATTTTCCGATGTGGGACTATTCACAAAGGCAAAATTGCCTTTTCATGAATAAGTTTCCAACAGGTTAAACATATTTGGTATCTTTTTAACTCTTGCGGTCAAAGTCATGTAACAATATGTACTCTTTTGAAAGGGGGAAAAAAATCTTGCAACTAAAATTCACACGATAGTTGAGTCAAATTCCACTTCAACTACAACCACAGCTGATAATTGGAAATCTGACATTAGATATGGGTAACGTCATGAGTTAAAAAAATTCTTTTTTAAAATATTTTTTCCTTTTTTGTTTATTTTAAACTCTAGTCGATCGAATATGTAAATATCTAGTTAAACCATCATTTTTTGCCACCAATATCGCACAGACAATGCCTGCACGACTTGACAAGAAACAAGTGCAAAGAAACACATCTAAATAAGACATCCCGTACCTCTTGAAGCCACTTGAACACTGCAGGAATTTCCCAAGAATTTGACAAGATCTTGGCGCCCAAGCCATCAGGAAAAATTCTCGGTATATTATCAGTGAAACCACCACCAGTGATGTGGGCTATGCCTTTGACACCTCCCTTGCTGATAATATCTAGCACCTGTATAGAGTTTACCATTTAAGTTAATTACAAATTCATCGTATGAAACTCTAAGAAAATATCCTTTGTGGGATTGACCTTCTTGACATAGATGACAGTGGGTGCTATTAGGGCTTCACCGAGAGTTTTGCCACTATTTCCAGGAAGTTGATCGCTCAAAGAAAGTCCACTCCGTGCCAAAATCCTACAATATTTACAAATGCCCGAAGATTAGGGCATCATAAAAGAAAAATGGTTTTTCGATATTAAACCCTGAAATCTTCCATATTTCGAATTAGTCTCTCAATCAAATTGCTATTAGGTCCTCCAATTCTTAAAGTTATTTTGAATTAGAACCATAAATTTATTTTGAAATTTCTATTAGGTCCCCTTCTTAAGTTATTGTGGAATTAGTCCCTCCAATCAAGAGTAGAAGAACGATTAAGAGGGGTTAATTTGTAACAACTTATGAGAATTTGGGGGATCCAATAGCAATCTCAATGATTTGAGGGACTAATTAAAATATGAAAGATGTAAGGGACTAATATTGAAATAACCCAAAAGATAAACATTTTCTGAGCATAGAATCCCCATTTATAGGAACAAAATGCACTCTGTATTTCATGATTAATCAACCGTTATGATTCTCCTATGGAAATGAAAAGAGAACGAATAGGAAACCAACCTTCTTACAAGAGAAAACCCATTAGAATGAACACCACTTGATGGAAGACCGATAAGCATATCCCCAGCCACAATATTCTTCCCATCAATGACAGAATCCTTCTTCACGATACCAACAGCAAACCCACTCAAATCATACTCTCCTTTCGCATAGAAGTCGGGCATTTCAGCTGTCTGCAGGAAAACACAGCAAATTATTCAGATGATATTTCTCTAAAAGTAATGCAAAAGCAAAGAGCCTTTCGACTCTAATGATTGAATGCCTAATAAGGACACTTATTTAACAAAAGAATTCAGTTGCTTGACTCTAACTCCAATCAAGTTATGAGGTTTGAAATAAGAAAAATGTTCATGTGCACAAGAAAATTTCATTTGCAAAAGGAAAGCATATATTAAAGCAACTTGTTGAAAAACTAAGCTTGAATAGTCTGCTCATGAATAATAGGTTTGTGCAGCATGGAAAAAGAGAGAGGTAAATTGAGGTTGCATGAAATGATACTTTAATGTAATGAAGTAGCATACAATAAATCATCAGGCTGAACCACAACAAGTCGAGAGGAAGCTCAATGGTTATGTTTGTTTACAGTTGTTAAGCAGGTGACCTTCAGGAAAAAAAAGACTTATGCTCATCCTTCAGGGGAATTTTTCTTAGACAAATTAAGGGTTAACCCATGAGAGTTAAAGTAGTATTAATCAATTAGTATTTCAGTTGGAGTGCAGTATTAGAAAACAATATGATACTCAAGATAATAATTACCTACCTACATTACATGGATAGGAGCATGGGACACAGAAAATTTGTAAAAGGAGGGTACAGGGCACGGCTACACTTACATGTGCATATAATAATAATCTGCATGAGATCAATATTATTTTATTTCATTTCACGTACTATGAAATAAAGTTCCTATAGCATTTATATGTTTCTTTTATAATATAGATCTATATATTAGAAATTGCTCATTTTTTAAATTGATATTCAAAAGATTCTTTATAATCATAGTTTTGAATTGGGTATGAGCTGAAAGGAACCCAACTTATGTCCAACGAGCTTCAAGAATCGCATATGAAGTGTAGGATATACGTCCAAGAAGTATATGACGAGTGTTTTAAATTAAAACATGTATCATATAATTGAGTGCATATTTGAATAAGTGTAGTCAAATATGGAGGGAGTGTGATATTTGAATAAGTGTAGTCAAATATGGAGGGAGTGTGCACTGAAGGTTCAGTTTTGGGTGTGAGTATTACACAGGTATGGCTCCAAACAGAAGTACCCATGCCATGCAACATAGCTGTAAAATAAATCATACTCAGGTCCAGATAGTAAAAATGTAATGAATATAATCATAGAGAGGACAAAAAAGGTTATGGATAGTCGGGATTCTTGCAACGTTAAAGGATGCCAAGAGGGCTACAAGCTTTATGGAGGAAGAGAACAGTGGGAAGGACACACACAATTTGTTCAACTGAACTAAAATAGTATGTTTATAAATGTTTCTATCAACTATTGGAATATAAACTCTACAGTTCGAAAGTTCTCATCTGCATTAAAAGTATCAATATCCCTGGATTGTAAGCTATGAAATTTCACGTGATATAGAAATGCCAAAACATTGGAAATAAATTAAAGGTTACCTCTCCTCCTAAAAGTGCACAATCAGACTGTTGGCAGCCATCAACAATCCCTTTGATTACCTACAAGACCATGAGAACATCAGTAAAGCTGATACATCCAGCAAGAGTAGGAGTATCACTGCTAGGGAATTTCAATCAAGCACGATTCAAGGATGTCAAAGCATAATAAGGTGACACACATACCTTTTCAGCAAGATCAACATCGAGATTACTTGTGGCAAAATAATCAAGGAAGAACAATGGCTTTGCTCCAGAGGTAACAATATCGTTTACACTCATAGCTACCTGTCAACAACAATACAGATAGGTTATTCATACAATGTAACACTGAACGAATGCCAAAAGAGAAAGACAAAGATTATACCAGATCAATTCCAATGGTATCATGAATTCCCGTCTCAAATGCAAGTTTAAGTTTGGTTCCTACTCCATCGGTACCCGCGACAAGGTATGAATCTCCTGTTCAAACAATCGAGTCCTTAAGCACTCACATCCCAGTAATTATACATAATAAATATATTTATCCTCTTGACCTTTAATGCACCTACGGTTTTTCACATAATTTCAACAACCATGTAGCATTTCCAACTCGTTTTCCCGATTTTTTTTTTCCCTTTTGTGAACTTGAGGACATTGATGCGCATAGGTAGTTGTTCTCAGATGATAATCAATATCATGGTACAATATTGGTACAGAGGGAAAGGGCACGAGAAAGATTTTCGTCTATAATCAACACAGAATTGAGGTAGTAGTATAAATAGGGGATACCAAATATGAAATAAGCCACCAGACAGCTAAACAATCATCAAATTTTGAATTCCTTAAATGGAGCAAATGTTTTTTACAAAAAAGAAAGAAAAAACATTTACGAAAACAGAGATATTCAATTTAAAGTGTTCCCAAAACCTTTAACCAAGGCTCTATCAAGAACACGTTCACCATAGTCACAACTTTCCGAAAATTAACCAACTGGACATCTTAAATTATGATACAAACAACGCTAAACGCTATCAAAATCATTAAAAAAACACATTAAAATCTATAATAAAAAAATTAATAGAGAGAAGATTTTAACTACCATCAAACTCGACGATTTCTCAAAATTTACCAAATGGGCATCCAATAAACCACATTGAAAATCTACAACAACAATAGAGAAGAGATCATTTAGCCAACTGGGCATCTTAAATTATGAGAAAAATACCACCAATACCCATCAAAATCACAACTTTCCCAAAAAAATTCCAAATAGCCACCGCATGAAACGCATTATAAGCTTCCAAAAACAACAAATAACAAATTAATAAAATCAAAAAGAGATCAATTATACCCAATGGGAAGAGACCCCCGAACCCTCCAATCCCAGGCGCCATCTTCGCAATCCTCTTCACAAGCTCCGACCCTGCATCGATATCAACACCCGCTTCTTTGTAAGTCAAGCCCTTGGAAGAACAACTGACCTTCAAAGACTCCATCTTTCTCCCTCTCCTTTGATTTGTTGGGATTCTAAGAAGACGGGTCGAGGGTATGAACCCGTTAGTGGGTTTGGATCCGACAAGGGAGGGGAGGAGGTTCTTGTCCGACGGCGCCGCGGCGCGGCCGCGTTCGAGTTCCATTGGATGGTGTGTTGAGGGTTTTAGGAAAGAGGAAATGGAGGGGGGGTGGGATTTAGATTCTTGTCAGAGGTTTGCTAATTGATTTTATATTGGCTGTAAACCTTCACGAAACACCCCTGAATTTGGTTTCGCTTTGTGGCAAGCCCTCTTCAATTTTGAAAATTAGAGAAAACTTCCCAACTTTGAGAATTTCACAATTGAGACATCCCTTTTAAAATGAATCCTCGGGACAAAAAGCAAATTCGGAGTAACGCCTAGGGCGATGGGTGCTTTTATAGGCGAGTTGATGGGCTGGCGATCAGCCTCGTCGCCAGCGAGTAGGCCCGAACTGGGACGGCGGAGGAGTGGGAAGCGACTGACGGCCACGAGGTTCGGAACCCGAAAAACTGCGGATGTCGGAGCGTTCGAGACGGCGAGGTCGAGTTCGCAGGATGAGACTAGCGAGAGGGTTGTGCGCGTTCGCCAAATTTCGAAGGCGTGCAACTGGTCGAGCTTCAACCTGAAGTTCGTGCGTCCCACGATGGCTCGGCCTGCATCAACCCATCAAGCTCGTCCGAGCTGCGCTTGCTATTCCGGCGGAGGTGAGTGGTCTACACCGCAAACTAACACTAAATATGTATACTTAGTGCTAAAGGAAATGAATTATTCTATGCACCGAAATTTAATTCAGCCATTTTAGCACAATGTATGTTCAGGGCAGAGGGACCTCTTCAATGTGGATGATGCAGAGGAGGAAATGGGACTAGCATTAGCTATTAGGACTACGCGCCACTCGGCTCTGGTTGGTATCGAATGCTTGTATGCGCAAGGGCATTACCAATGAAGTTGAAAGGTATCCGTGATTCAAACATCTGCATCGGGCTGGCAAGGCGACGATGTTCATTACGCGGTAACTCATTTTTATGCCATTTTGAGTTATTTATAATAGAGCTGAGGGCTCTGTGCTAGCGCAATTTTTCAATTAATTAGATTTAGATTAGGCTATGAGATGTGTGCTAATCAATATGATACACATTTGCAAACTAGAATTGAAGGGATGAAAAATGTTGTAGACCTGATCGGCCGCTTATCTTAGGCTAATTGTATCGAAGTATTCTAAGTTTAAATTTGATGAAAGGCTTTTCTTGAAAGTTTTTTATATAGTTTATCATAGCTAGCCTATTAGTATATATGAAAATAATGCATTAGAATTTTTTTTAATAAGAAAAAAAGAGGATAATCGCACGTTCATATAATAACAAAAGGAGTTAGGCAAACAGTAATATTATTATAGAAACAGTGGATAGCAAAGACTGTTACCCAAATGTTAAAAAATAGAAAAAATATAAGTTTCTTTATGAAGCTAGGTGATGCATTAATCTTCTTCTGCCTAAGAGATGCGGCATGAGGAAATGAAGGAATGGGTCTTGTCGGTCATTACACGTGTAAGCATAGTAATATGCAGGCAAGAACGCAAAATCATCATATAGCATATAATAAACAAAAAACTTAATTTTCCTACTATCCAGTCATCAAAAAAGCAAAAAGTCGTATAAAAAGAAGTAAATACCAAGTTGGCAAGTGTATATAGCAGAATAAAAGTAACAGTGTTCTTCCAATTAGTATCGGAGTTATAGCTTCAAGCATATATCAAAAGGCCTCCTCATCCAGCTGCTTCCATGCGTATAGGCTTGTCTTCCAAACTTGTTGATACCCTAACTGGGCAGCAGATCACTTCCAAGAACTCTGCCGTCAGTCATATAAACGGCAGAAATAGGATAGTTTATAATAGAAATTATGAGAGAAGTTAAGCTTGATCAAGATGAAATTTGTTTTCTTGTAATCGCCCAGACTCGCAGGCTAGATGAGGAGAATAAGTTCAGCACATAAGTTTCTCCACGTTAGTATTTGTAGAGGGGCTCTAAGCTTTGTAAGAAGCTGCGATCAGGATATAGAGCGTCATTGGAGAGGCGGAGACTAAGTATCTGTGAAATGTCCTGCCAACCTAGTTTTGTTAAAAGAACATTGAAAAAAAGAGATGCTCTAGTAAATTCTACAACTGGGGCAGTCCCACACAACCGAGCACGTAAAGGATGCGACCGCCATCCATCTTGTCAAGCATCAAGGTTTTTCCGTCAGACGTGCAACTGCTATTTTCTAGTATAATAGCCTAAGTAAAAGATCTGAACTTTGGCTAGGCAGAGATGGAATTCAAACAGTTCGGACTTTGGAAGTATGAGAGAAATAAGCGGCCCTGCTGGAGTTTAAAAAAAGAGTATAAAAAGAGCTTGACTGTCGAAAAAATAAAACCACTTGTTGATAAGTGACGCATTTAGTTGATTAGCTTTCGTATTAGAAGAAGCACTGGTGAGATCGGCAATTAACTATCAGAAGGTTTGATTTGATCAAGACGTGATAAAGGAGATAGTACTTTTTTTTCAGCAATAAGATGTCAGATGATCATTCATAGGCCTTGAATAGTGGCATTGACTTCGTATAGACACAATTTGAACGTGAGGGAAAAGCTTGTTATAAAGGATCGGATTGAGACTAGCTAAGGATGCAACCTCAAAAGCCATATTATCCTCCAAAAATCCTTTATCACCGAGAGCCTAGTGAACCGAATGAAATGTGATGTAGGAAAGCTGCTTTTATCTATGAGATAAAATTGCAATTCTAAATGGTTGAATATAGAAGCATTAGCCAGTGGCTTGGATTGAAAGAGTAGGACCTCTATATATTGTAGAGTCTTGATGGAAGAAAAGGTTGGCCTACTAGATCCTTCGTCTAGAGCGATTTCGCATAACCATTTGAGAGGTAGGAATATTAAACGTTGTTGAGATCTTTATAACTCACGTAATACGGCACGTTTAAGATTTACTTAGACATATCAGTACCATTTGGAGCAGAAGAGAAATAATGCGCATTATATGTTTAACTTAAGGGAAAGCAAATATTGTTGAAACGTAATACATAGAATAAATATCGTTCTAGTGTGTGCCAACGCATTAAAGTTCATTCCTTAATTTAAATTTTAAATTTTTGATCATTCAACTACTAATTTATTGGGCTGCTATTAAAAAGCAGTGAATTTTCTTGTGGTAATTAAAGCGCTAATGCGTTATGGAGCTGGAGCTGTAATACAACATCAGAGTGAAGCTAAATAACCCACAGGATTTTTTGCAAATGAGAAGATCACGTCAGGATTTGATGCATACAGCCCCTTGAAAACAACCGGCTCAGTTGAATCGCGAAATTACCGTGCGCTAATTCGTTATTTAATTGCATGATTTATCGCACAATATATACTGTGTAATGTTTTAGTCTTGATTCTGGTACTGAACCTACATAAGGTGTTCCTCTCTCTACGTCGCTCGCTTGTGATGATTGGTGGTTAATATAATTGTAAGCGGATAAATATGGCCGAACGACTCCCGCTTGAAACTTTGTGATTATACAAAGTAATGCCCTATAACACTTTCAAAATATGCAAAAATCCCTTAGGGCTTGAAACGATTTTCACCAAGAAAATCTTTTCTACAGCATAATTAAGCAAAGCTTTGTCAGCCACAAATAAAATATTCCTGGCTATTTTAGGCCACACACATCGCTGCGCGAGCAAAAAATTAGTGGTTTTCTGAATATTTTAGCTTGTTATGAAGAATTTCTGATATAAACTTAAAGTTAAAGCGGTTTTCTGATAACTTTTAAGCTTAAAAGAATTTTTTTGGCTTGATTTTTTGAACCTATAGAGGGATTATTTTGATAATCATACTGCCCTTCAAAAGACACGAGTTTTAGGATAAATCTTTCTATGGTCATATATTAGCCATGTCAGCGTATTTTGAAATATATATTTAAATTTTATGCTATTATAATTCTAATTATATGCTTATCTAATCCACATGAACTCAATCTATAGGCTTCAAACATATTTAAAAAAGAGATTAACAGCTGACTCGAACAAACTACGTGAAATATATTGTTAATATTTTTATTGAAATCTTAATTCTTAATCTAATACTAAAGTTATATCCTATATTAACCGCTATCATGAAACTACATATAGCTCAACAATTTTAAAAAATAAGATTAAGATTTAATTTATAAAAACAACCAGCAAAATATCTTTAAAATTTTTAAAAGTTACGAACAAAACATATCGCGTGACTTTTTCAAAACTTTAAAAACAACAAACTATAAAATTTAAAAAATTTAAAACAGTCGCCCAGAGGAATTAAAAATGATAAATTATACACCCTCAATAATTTCTAAAATTGTTCGAAACAAGCTCAAAAATTCAAATTAGAAAAAACAGCCCAAAATATCAATAGACTGTCAAAAACCTTGTAAACAACATAGATTAAATTTTAGGATTAGTCAATAAGGCACTTAAAAGCTTAAAAAATTATAATAAAGGTAACCTCAAAGTTTAGGAAAAAAGAAAAAGAGAAATGACATTGAAGACTATAAAACTTCCATCAAAATTGTAGAAATGCAGGCACAAAATCTCAAAATTTCAAAAGCTTATAACGCGGTAGAGCATCAAATGCTAAAATGTCTATCAGCAGGCAAATATTAAAATTTAAATTTATTCAAAAAACAACTCAAAGTTTTAGTAATTGTAAAAAACACTGTTGCAATAATTTATAGAGATTGAAAGAACATCTTAACATCTTTATAAAACTTACGCATACAAACAATCATACAAACATAAAAATTATCAAGCACTCGGCCAAAGCATAAAATTTAAATTTTCAAAAAAAAAATAACATTAAAGCTTAAAAATAAAATTAATAAAAGCACACTCTGGCCAACAATTTTAAAAATGCACAAAAGAGACTAAAAACTTTGACAAATAAAAGAGTAAATGTTTGATATCATTTGTCATTAAGATATTATAATATTAAGTTTTAGTCTAAAGTTTTATGCATCACCTGTTTTTATCGGCATCTTAAAAAGTAGTCTAAGTAAGCATTGGCTGAAATAATATAATTACAA